ATGATAGATAGTCAAGCAAGGTTATCAGGCAAGTAAGAGAGAAGACAAAGGAATTCTGAGATATAACACGATGAAAACAGACGAAAGGATTCTCCTGAATTTCGGTTAATCCAAAAATGGTTGCTTCTGACTTATATGCGCTCAAAAGACTGTGGTTGAAAGAGACTCTATAGTGAATATGGAAGAAAATTCTTGTAGGAATCATGAATCATTGAGGCAAAAACGGCAGGAATCATAAATATCAAGATTCAAATGATTCTGCTCCCACCCCCGAGTCTAGTTATGGAAGAAACTATGCTCTTACTCCCTTTGTTTAGAGCTGTCGGAGAGTTGTGTAGTCCTTACGCTAGAACTGTTTGTGTTGCAAGGCGTTGCAAATTTTTGTTATTTATTGAATTAAAAGTCCAGTAAACATGGCCTGGTATTCCGTAGTTTTGAAAGCTGCATTTGTAACACGCAAGCTTACATGTACGCCTGGATGTACGCTCGTATTTATTGAGATTCCCGATCCAGGCAGCAATGAATGAAGTGCACATTCAATATCTCGTTAGACTTTGAGACCCTTTGTCACCTTCGAGGAAAAAATCCAATGCGAGGCAAGGTAGTGCCGTGTCATGTTCTGATTATTCTCTTCCTAGCGGGTAGATTAAATTGTGGAGGATTCCAAACTTTTCGAACCGAGCAAATCTTACTGATCATTGATGTTCGACTCACATTTAGAGTTTATTTCCGGTGCTTGTTGTTTCTTATAGGAATTGACCTTTGATGAATTCCTGATATCAGTTTGTCACGCGTTGTTTTCAGGATGTTGAAATTTCAAGGATAGTGATTCACTGACCAGAATTAACATGGTAAAAAACGGTGGGTTCTACAGGACTGAGCGACTTTTAACTCATAATGCAAAATGTCATTGGTCTGATTCTTTTCTTTCTAGCGGGTAGGCTATGCTGTGCAGCAAGTCTTATTCTGCCGCTGGTTTCACGTCGGGAGGTCACGAAGTTGACCTCTTTCCTGCAGAATTTCCTGGGGTTTTGTTGCTTTGAAGGCAGGATTTGATCTCTGGTGCGATGCAGCTTAAGCACTTTTTTTGGGCTCCGAGGGTGGAAGACCACGACGTTCAAATGATGAATTTGCCGTAGAAGAATCCGCTTCACTCTTTCAGAGTGCGGGACGAATCGGGAAAAAAAAACCCAGGACCGAGAAATATGACTACAAATAAAATAGGTAATGATTTCATTTTGCACCATAACAACTCCGATGAACACTGACAATAACTTTTTGTCTTTTTCTAAAAAAGTTATGGTTATCGTTTTCCTATATCGTTGTTAGTGAAGGCGTATTCAATGCACAATTCTGGGAGGTGATGACCCTGAAAGATACAGTCCAGTCTATATAGAGATATTTTCCACGCAACTTACATGTACTTCATTAGAGAGAGCATGCCCAATACATGGACCATTAAAAAATATGGGCCTTTTTCTTAAAATATAATAATTATTCTCATAATACTCGTCATCATCATCATCAACATCATCAATTATATTTGTTAACAAGATTAGCTTTCAACAATTCGTCGTTACAAAACAAGCTGCCCTCAAGTTGTCTTTATTCGAACCAAGGAGTTTAAAATAACCACGTCCAATAGCTGCTGGAAAAGCATGAAGGAAACTAGTTTCATGAACATTGTCACTATGTTCAAATTCAAAACAACCAAACGACAATGAGAGACTTCTTTATAAGTCGTTAATTCCAGAATCTAAACCCCTACCGACATCTACGTTAATGGCTTTTTTTTCCTCACGGTAGTTTCTCATTAAAATCTAGCAAGAATATCTTTTGATTATTGGACAGATGAAAAACTGTTTTACTTATAGACATAACGCGCACAAGACTGTTAGAACAAGTCTTAAAAGAAGAATTTTAAAGAGTTTTTTCTGCTCCTGTTTCTTTCTTTTTTTTTATAATATAGCGAAAAATCGATAATGTTATTTTGGAAATTATTATGCCTTATGTTGAAACCGCAGCAAAGCATTGTCAAGAAATGTCGCCAAAATGTGTTAAAGAAAAGCGAAAACAGTGAAAATTAGACAGGTAAGGATAATTGATCCACTCTTAGCTTGTTACTCGGCGTTCCCGAACCAAGAGAGGTCTTTGGATCCGCGGGGGCTGGGAGAGACAGGGCGGCGGAGCCTGTGCGCATTTTTTTTAACGGCCTGTTCCGGTATATCAGCTCCTGATATACCCTCTGATTGGTCAATTGTGACAGTTAACATCATCACCTAGTAGCGTGGTCATCAGTTTGTCGTCACCAAGATGGCCAACGCGAATCGTACGTGTGATCTTGATGAATCCGCGTTGTCTGGCGTTATTTTTTTTTTGGCATGATCTCAGGGTAGACGAGTGTCTGCGACTTGGCTCGCGGTAAAGATGTTTTCGCTATTATGCCCACCGGTTTCGGCAAAAGTTTAATCTTTCAGCTATTCCCACGCTTGGCTAAAGCTGCTCTAACCTTAGAAAACTCTACGATAATAGTCGTTTTGCCTCTGATAACTATAATGCGAGACCAAGTGGAACACTGAATTTAAAAAGCCTGGACTTTCGGCCGCAGCTATTGGCATCGGTGAAGAGGGAGAGGAGGACGAGAAGAAAGCGAGAGAAGGAAAGTGCGAAATTGTTTTCGGTAGTCTGGAGTTTTGGCTGATCACAAAGTGGCAAAAACAAAACAGTGCAAAGACTGTCAAGCTTTAAATAGCTATTGCCAAGGGAGAAACTACGCGCTCCAGTCAAAAGACTCACACTATTATAAGAGAAACACTAAGCTTGAGTTTACTGAGTCACAATGCAATTCTCCTTAGTTAATGTAGCTTAAGTTTAAGCTGTGCTTCATTCTTATAATTCTGGATCTGTAATTCACTATCCGTGATAATTTTACATTCTGCAAAGAAAACTAACGAGCTTGGCCCAGCGTGATACAACATTGCAGAAAAACATTACATTCACGGACTAAAGAAAATCACTAAGTCAGTTCCAGAAGGCACTGTGGAGAAAATTAAAACCCTTATTCAGCCGCAATAAAAAGCTTTACGTTCAAAAGAGGTCAAAGAAAATGCTCTCTCATCAGAGGGAAAATCCTGCCGACCAGAAACAAAAGCCACAGTAAATC